TATTATTTTTAAATTTACTACAGGGTACATGCACTAACCAGAAAGAGAAAGTGAGAAAGCATGCCACCAGGTCTGGGACTCGAACCAATATTGGTTACATGGGACTCCAGCACCTTAAACACCAACTCACTTGCTGGCCTCTGTGGCATTACTCTTTAATCTCATATTAATCAAAGAACTGAGAGGGCAGAGGTAACAGCTCGTTTTTTTTGCCATTCTATGAGAATTAGAGGTAACTGTTGGTTAACATTTGTTTTTTGGGGGGCATAAAAGCTATAAATTTGGGGCTCAGAAATATAAAAGTGCTGTGATTATGCTTTTGACTTTTGAAATTCTACTGCTGGATTTTTTTCCAAGGACAAATTATTCTTATAAGGTAAGGCTGACACCCATTTTGCAAGTTACCTCAATTCTTCCCTTACAGTGTTAGAAGCAGCTAATTTACTTCACTTTCTCATACAAATAGGACCCAAGTCTTCAAGAGCTTGACTAAAAAGATCCTGCCCATAGTAAGAATGCACACTGTGACCAGCCACACAGTTCCGTTGTTTCCTGACACTAAGAGGTGGGCTCAGTGAAAGCAACAGGCTTCCCATAAAGTGACTGAAAACAAGAAAGATTACCACTAGTGCACTGCATTAAATTCTATCCATATATTTCTCTTTTTAAAAAATAATTATATTTATTAACTTTATTTATTCATTTTAATTTGACCAGAGAGGGACAGAGAGAGAGTGAAAATGAGAGAGAGAAAGAGAGAGAGAGAAAGTGAGAAATCAAGCCACCAGGTCTGGGACTTGAACCATGGTCAGCCATGTGGGAGTCCAGCATCCTTAACCACCATGCCACCTGCCAGCCCCTATCTATATATTTCTCATCTGATATTTTCATTAGACTATCAAGATAGGTTTTATCCTCATTTACACATGAGGAAATGGAGGCCCAGCACAGTCAAATTGCCTAAGGTTATGCAGTAGGTGGTAATTAACAGCATTTGTGAGTAAAATTGGTTTTAGGTTTTATTATTTTTTTAAGGAATTATTTATTTAATTTAATTTATTATTATTATTTATCCATTTTTTTCTTTCTTTTTTTTTTTTTTTTGGAGAGGTTTTTGCTATAGGGCACGTGCACTTGCCAGACAGACAGAGACAGAGAGACAGAAAGCAAGAAATCACCCCCATGGGGGATGGTCACGCTGCAAGCCCTTCTCCTCCATTCTCCTCTCGGGATCTTAGGCATGCATGCACACGCGCCTGGCGTGAGTTTAAGCCACCGGTCCAGGACTTGAAACACGGTTGACTACATGGGAGTCCAACGACATAGCCATTACGCTAACTGTTGGTCCCATTATTTATCAATTTGATTGGGGTGGCAAGAGTGAGAAAGCAAGCATTCAGGCCCAGGACTCGAACAGTGGTCAGCCATGTGGGAGTCTAGTGCTTTAACTAATACTCCACCTGTTGGAAATACATTTTTCAGTCCAAGATCTGAAGTGTTTGTTCAGTGTTACCATTCTCAAAATCATGCCTTCACCACGTATGTCCAAAACCAAGAATGCACAGACTAGATATGTTGATCTACTGGCTTAAGAGAAGCACTATTATGTGTTTTCTTTCTGGGATGGCTACTTGAAATTGAAAAAGTCTATAATTACTCATAAGAGCAAGAAGGTGCTGAAATTCCCTGTTTGAAGAGAAAATATTCATTTAATTCTGATGTAGAAAATGGTACTGCAACAATCTCTTTGCTTATTCATCCAATGTTTGTAAGACATCCACAAAGTGCCAGGCACTGAAAAAGGCACTGAAAATATAAAAATGAACTAAATGCTCTAGCATAGAGATAAATAAACAATAACCCTCCAAAGATAGCTGGAAAAGGGGAGGCTTTAATAAAATGGAGAAAATAGTTTTCCAGTTTGGAAATGGTCTGATCTTTTTCATTGGTATTCCAGCTGTCCTCATGAAGACAGATGAACTGTTCTTTCCTGAATGTTCCATTTGAAAAGCAGAAGTGGGGAAACCCCACTTACTGGAAGGGCTGCACTTGGGCTCACAAACCCTGTGTCCATTGCTTGTTCCCAGTGGGTGCTCTGTGGGGTAGTTAGTAAAGTCGATGCAAAAGGATTTCTAAAGCAGTTTATGACCAAGAGCAAGAAAAGGCTCTTACATGTCCAAGCCTTTCTTTGGCTGCTTATAGAGAAAGAGAAGTCTTTCATCATAGGAAGTGGAGTTTACTGGACTGAAAGAAAGGGTCTAGACCATCTGGTACACCGTAAAACACGAGCAGAAGCTCTTTCTCCAGGGCACTGTAATTCCAGCCACTGAAGTTGAGCTAAACCTTAATAACAGACTGTGGCGAGTGGGCTAAAAGTCTGGAGAGGCCAGGGACTGGGTGAGCTGCCTAAGGAGTTTTTCCAACCTTCTCCTTCCCATTCCAATCCAGCCTTAACTCTGCCCTCAGACCTGCAGTATGTCCATCCCCACCCCCAAGGGAGGGCAGGCAATGCCCTGAAGGAGCCTGGCCCCTGCCTCTCCCTATCTCATTTTTACTACCTATCTTCCCCTTTCCTCACTACTACACATACCCTGGTTTCAACCACGTAGAACTCTTACTATTCTTTACTCTCTAGATTGTTCCTCTTGATCAAAGTTTAAGACCAGGAAGGGACCAGCAGTTAGCATAATGGCTATGTCACTGAACTCCCATGTAGTCAACTGTGGTTCGAGTGCTGGACCCGGTGGCTTAAACTCACGCCGGGCATGTGTGCGTGCGTGCCCAAGATCCTGAGAGGAATGGAGGAGAAGGGATTGAGGCGTGGCCATCCCCCTGGGGGGTGATTTGTCTCTGTTTCTCTGTCTCTCTCTTTCTGGCAAGCACACATACCCTATAGCAAAACAAAACAAAACAAAACAAAAACCTCCCCCCCAAAAAAAGACCAGGAAGAAAATCTTTCCAGATAGTTGGTCCTTCTGCAGCTCCATCAGGCTTCTGAGCAGGCTCCTGGTTGCTTCCTTCCAGAGGTCCCCACAGCACTTTTGCCATAACCAAACCAATTCTCATGTTGCATTATTATAAATATCTAAATATCTATTTTTAGAGTCATGTTGCAAGTCTCTTCAATAGTGAGACTATCACTTTCTATCTGCATATACCAGCATTAAGCACAGTTTCATGGCACAGAGTAAGCCTCAGCAAATGTTTGCGAAATGGACAAATGAGTGAATGAATGGGGTTGGGCTTCTCCCTATCCCTCATCCTGAATCTTATTTCAAGCACTTTTTTTCTAATCTTCCTTCTTTGACATCTGCCAATAAGAAACGCAATTAGTTTGTAAAGAAAGAGGAGCGATCTCAGAATGATTTCTGAATGAAAAGTGGTATATTTCTAGAGTATACCTTTGGTTATTTTATGAGAACAGCCTTGCAAGTATTTTCTTAACGGGTCCAATAATACCATCAAGTTCCAGGCTTTCTGACATCCCCCACCTGCTTCCATTCTAAGAAGAAATAACTAACTTATGGCAAGATCTTCTCTACTGAGCTCTTGCATAAGTTTTCTTTCTCTGTTACATTTATAATCATTTCTCAAATATTAGGTCATCAGGAAAATGATGACACATTTTTGCATAGAAAAACATAGAAACTATGTCATGACTTTCCTGATGACCCAATATTTATTGAGCACTTTCCATATACGAGGCGCCATTCTAGGATCTAGGGACATAATAGTAAACAAAACAGGTAACATTCCCTATTGACCTTTTTATTACAGTAGCAAAAAGAGACAATAAATAAGAAAAATAATATAGTATGCCTGGTGATGAAAAGCCCTAAGGATAAATATAAAGAAGGAAAAGAGACAGAAAGTGTTAAAAGTTTAGATAGAATAGCCAAAGAGGGCCTTCCTGATACTTGAGTAAAAACCTAAAGGAAGTGAAAGAACAACACATGTGGATGTCAGAGACCATTCCAGGCTAAGGGAACCACCAGGGCAGATGCTCTGAGGTGTTCAGGAAACAGCCAAGCGGGCTTTGTGGGAAGACGAGGGTGAGCCATGGAAAGCACATGGGAGATGGAGTCAGAAGTCTAAGGTGGTCTTTGGAGAAAAGAAGGCCATAGAACCAAGAATCCATGTTTGGAAAAATCAAATGTACAGATGTGAAAATCAATGAGAGTCCTAACCAGAGTGTTAGCTAACATGATGGTGACCCAGCAACTAAAGTGCAGAAGAAATAAGGAGTGAGGGGTAAGGGTGAGGTGACAGCAGCAATGAAAGTGGTGAGTAGTTTGGCTTTAGAATCCAATGGGGATGATTTGAGGGAGAAGGGAGGGAAAACGCAATAGAAGTGGCAATGAGGACAGAGGAGGACCTATCCCTTTTAAGGAGAGAAAGCAACAACTATGAGCCTTTTGGAGGCAAGCTCCTCAGGGGAGTCAGCTCTCAGCTGGAAAAGAAAGCAGATGGAAATCCCAGAGAAGAGGCTGTGGCTGTAGCAGATTCTGCTGATGGCTGGCTATGAATAGCAGAGGGCCCAGGGAAAGGATTTCAGGGCTTAGAAAGGGTGGGAGATGGAGACAGGAAAAGCTGTTCTCTTCTTACTTGTTCCTTGAGTCACTCTCTCCCTATTTTCAGTTTCATTTCCTCTTTTCCGATCTATCTTTCTCTTCCCATCCTTCTGTCATCTTTATACATGACTTCAGTTTATCCTAACTTTTCCTGTCCTGTTTGTCATTAGTGGTAATTTCCCTCCTTCAGTTTCTTTCCTGTTCCTTATATCTCAGAGCCTTCCTTCTAGCTTATAAACTTTCCTTTAGATGTGAGCCATCTTTTTTCCTCAATCTTTCCTTTTCCCCCTTCTTGATGTTTGACACTTCTTTCTAGAAATGATCCATGTGGCTGTTTGCTTTGGAAGAAGGCTTTGAAAGCTTCCAAGTTACCCCAGGGAATGTGCTGTCAGTTGCTCAGCAGCCTTGCCTTCTTGTCCCTTTCCTTACCTGGACCTTGATAGGTTCCATCCAGTGCTCCAGGCTGTCAGCAGTGACATTCTCAGGTAGCATAACTGGGTCACTAGGGGGTATTATACACGATGGGGAGCACATTGCACCTGAAGGAACAGAAATTTATAGCAGAAACTTGAATTTCTCCAATCTCCATATTTTCAACCCAAAATCAATAGCTTTGACATTTCAGGAGCAGTGGTATTAGGGGTCATCATATCATGATGGTTATAGATAGAGCTGAGATTCCTGTACTATACAATAGTAGAGATATTTTAATAGTAATTAGGAAAGAGCCACTGCCCCAAGCTAGCTCCTCTTGGCCTTTGCCATTCTTCCCAGCCCAGTATAACCACCTTTCTTTAAAGCCCTAAATGATCCAGCAATCAGCAATAAGAAGATTAACTCCAGGTCCAGCAAACTTCCAAAATCCCACTCCAGAACTACAGCTAGTCAACTACTAAAGTTATGGGAAGAAGCCTTTTAAGTATATTTAATGTCATTTCTGCTTATCTGGTCTCCTAGAAGCTTATTACTGCAACAACTACTACCTAAGAGCTTGACTAGCTAGGGAAAAAAATAATGACCCAGAAAGGGACCAAAAGGAGGTGTAGTGGTTAAGACTCTGGACTCCCACATGGTTTGACTGCAGTTCAAGCCCTGGACCCTGCAGCTTGAAAATCACACCATGCAGGGACCAACAGATGCCATAATGGTTACATCACTGGACTTGCTTGTAGTCGACCACAGTTCGAGTCCCAGACACGCCAGGTGGGTGTGTGCGTATGCCCAAAATCTTGAGAGGAGAATGAAAAAGAAGGGATTGTGGTGTGGTCATCCCCACTGGGGGATCATTTCTCACTTTCTTTCCCTGTCTCTTTCTGTTTCTGGTGAGCGCATGCACCCTATACCAAAAATCTCTCTTAAAAAACAAAAATCATACTAAGCATATGTGCATGTATGTCCAAAATTCTGACAATGAAGAATAAGGGATTGCTGCATGGCTATCCTCCCTGGGGAATGATTTCTCACTTTCACTCTCTCTGTCTCTCTCTAGTGAGTGCATGCACTCACTAAGAAAAAAATAAAATCCAGAAATTATAAATTACACCTGTCTGTTGCTACACTGAAGATCATTATATTGGCAGCCAAGAAACCTATGTGATTAAAAGAAGAAGCAATGGAAAGTCAGAAGTAGACTTTGGTCATGTCTATTAAAGGAAAATGTTGCTCTGTTTCCTTGCATGTGGGGGTCCAAGTGTCTCCTAAAATTTGTTAAAAGAAAAATACCATCAGCATTATTTATCTCACTATCTATAGATCTGATGATCTCCAGTTTTCTTTTCTCAGCTTTCATTAGCAATATTTCTATACTTTACAGTAACTTTAATAATAATCAAAAGAATTACATTAAGGACTTTAGATATGTGAGTATATGATATTTTGATGCAGAAATTAGAGCCGTGGAGGTGAAAGACCACTCAAGAGGCATATCTGAGTTAACTGATATCCCATGCCAGACCGCAAAAAATTACAGTGCACAAAGCACCTTGAAGATGATAAAGAACCATTTCTGAAACTAATGAGGTTTCTAATTAACTCAAATTATTTTCATTGGCACTACACAGATTATAATACCCTATAGAATAACACCCTGCCTGTGCAGTTCAGAATGTAGGAACAATTTCATGAAGTTTTGTACACACTACAACTCTTTTCTGTCATGCTCAGGGCCAATGAGGGCAAAGGTGAGTCAACATTACTACTAGACACCTCTGGCCTTGAAGACCTTAGATTGCAATAACTTGAATAAGACGTTGACCACAGGCTCTGCAGCCTAGTCTCCTGTAGAGAAAAACGTCTGAAGAGCAACACAAGTAAGTGCATTCTCAAATCATTCCTCTCAGAAACTCTTCAGCCCATCAACGACCACAGAGGTAATGGGGGAACCCAGCACACATGCTCCCCTCTTTCCTCCTGGAACTATAAATCCTACCACAAATCCATCCACTCTCAGCTCTGCTGCTGAATGGGTAACAAAACCAGACATGATGCAAATAGCTTTACAGCCACACCACATTATACACACATGAAAGAGTAAAAAGAACAAATTTGTCATAAATTTTATTTTTATGAAGCAGCTGAGAGTTGATTTGCATTTCCATCAACTTGTCAGGGAGAAGAGTATATCTGATTCAATATCTATCCAGGCCTAATTATAGCATGACTTGTCCCTTCTCATTCTTACCAATGGCATATCCTTGTTCGCACTTATACTCCACAAAATTCAGATCTGATGGGGGTGGTGGGCACTCCCCTTGCAGGTTCTCACACAACTTGAACTCTCGGGTCCACAATCCCTCTTTAGTGCAGAGGATGGGAAGCTAGAATATGAAAGGTAAAGAATATCTCCATAACTGTTTTTGTTCATTTCATTGAGAATGGGGGAAAAGATGGTTTGATCGAATGATCTGATCAACTTTTAGAACCTGGACTAAACAACATTATTGGAAACTATAAACTATGTTGTTATCGGCCAAAAAAAGAGAGAGAGAGAGAGAGAGAATGTTTTTGCTGTTTCTAAGTGAAGAAATGATGAGTAACTTCACCATTAATAAAACATATTAGATATATTAGTAATGTATTTTCCTATGGATATAAGAATATGATAAACTATCAATTGTAGCTTACCCATGAATTCTGAGCTATTTTTGGCAGCCCCCCCAGATGGTATTGTTTTGTATTGATTCATCCACTCTATCACACAAATACCACTTGTGGTGAATGTCAAATTATTTCAAGATAACTTTCATCCAGTGAAACCAATTCTTAATTTTCCTAAAGGTGTGCTTTGCCCTTGTGCTTAAATGGACAGATTATATTTACTTTTGCTCTCAACGAAAATCCCATTCCCATTTCATTTCTCTTGTGCTAGTTTATATAACTCTTGGCTTCACACCTCCAGTCATTGCAAAGTGTATTCTATCTAGAACAAAAAGATTAGCATCACCACACAAAATCCAAGAAAGTAAGATTTTAGAAGCATAGACAGCTCTTTTTTCATCTGGTCAACTCTTTGGCTTCTTAATCAGTCAAGCATTTGGGTTTGATTTCTCAGGGTCTCATTCTGGGGCATATTCTTTTAACATCTATTCTGCAGTTCTCACCTTGAAGTGCTAGACACTAAGCTAAAGACATGCCAGGGGAGCAGTTAAGGTCATTGAGCTTTGCCTAGGAGTCTGCTTGACTTCCTGTCTCGTGTGTGTGTGTGGTACTTGAAAAGATTCTAAAATAAAATTGATATTAGTCACACAACTATGATAAGACTGTGGTTTTCATCTGAGACCTCTTGTGCCAAAATCCTAGTGAGGATAACAGTCAAACAGCACTTTCAGCTTTGTTGAAACAGGGCTTTAGCTTTGCTGAAATTCATGTTTCTGTTCAGGACTGTGTTCTTCTTAAAAAAGAAAATGTAGCACTAACATTCCTAGCCAACCTAGGTCAGTGGCCATGCATGAGACATTGCCAAATCAGAATCCCAGCATTTTGGAGGATATACCCAGTTACCCTGCCCATTGGGTTCTTCTTATTATTCAAGAGGAAGTTCTAAACTCAGAAGGGAATATTTTTAAAAATGTGGTATCATCTGAATTCTCTGTCAAACAATATTAATACCTCTGGTTAGAATCACCACTTACAAGACTTGCATGATGATTATTTTTAAGCATTTTTATTCAGCATTCTCACAGTGGTCATCAAGATTATTGCATAACCTGATCTAAAACAAGGTTCAAGAAATCCTCCTTACCCTTTCACTTTCCTGATTACAGTTGAGCACGCATTGACTGTCCAGCTTGAAGCCATTGGTACATTCATACATGCCTTCAAAAACAGGAGACGGGGGCTCACACATCACTGGGCTGCAGCTGCCTTGTTCCCAGATTCCACCTTCCAGGCACTGTATCTTCAGGAACTTGCTGATAAGACATTTAAAAAAAGTTGTCCATCAGATTCTATCAAGGAGGTCCTGGGGGGTGGGAGGAGGGGAGGGTCCTCAGTAATAAGCGATAAGGACTGTTAAATAGGCAGGGTCAGATGGCTTTTGTTAGCCCAAAGTCCCACTGCTGCAGTCAAACTTCTAAGTCATGGTACTAAAAATAGCAATGTTCATTTATTAGCAGTAGTAGCAGTAGGTGTTGTATGTTTTATTAATTACTCTCAAGAGTTTGCTAAGTAGTACAGCATGGGGATTGTTTATAGTTAGAGTTTTCCATGAGACTTTCATCTTGGAGGAGTCTGTCATCTAAATATAGTGGAAATGCCAGTTAGAATGGACTTCAGAAAACATGATCACACATGCAGAACACTAACCAGAAGTGACTTTTGGGTCATCAGGGTCAATGTGGCATTATATTGAGTTGTAAGAAAAGTCACATTTTTGCACAGAAAAACATTGCAAACTATTTCATGAATTTTCCAACCACCCAATAGTTGGTGAAGTCGTTAATATTTATTGGTTCTTCAGAGAGGAGAGAATGTGCAGCCCTGTGGGATTTTTTTGTTTGCTTTTTTGTTTGTTTGTTTTGTTTTGTTTTTGGAGAGGTTTTTGGTGTAGGGTGCATGCCCTCACCAGAAAGACAGAGAGACAAAGAGATAGAAAGTGAGAAATCACCCCCCAGGGGGGATGGCCACGCCTCAATCCCTTCTTCTCCATTCTCCTCTCGGGATCTTGGACACACACGCACATGCGCCCAGCGTGAGTTTAAGCCACCAGGTCCGGGACTTGAACTGCGGTTGGCTACATGGGAGTTCAGTGACATAGCCATTATATTAACTGCTGGTCCCACACTGTGGGTCTTTTAAAAGAGACTCTTATCCTACTCCTCAAGACAATAACCTCTAATTACTACATTTGTTTTGTTTGTTTATAAGTCCACAGTTTTCCCTGGAAAAATTCATACCTTTTACAAATTCTTCAAGCAGACACAATTCAATATTGCCTGGAAGAACTGCCCCTCCTTCTCATGCACGGACACGAGAGAGTGTCTCTCCCACCAGAGAGACAGTATTTGAGGTAGTTGAGAGTCACTTAGCAGAATTAGGCTTTTAGCTCCTGCAAATTCCATTCCACTCCTCTTATGACCACCACAATCGGAAGACGCTTCCCATTTTGCATTTTTAACATATCCACTTCTGATTCAGAATCTTCCTGGTCACAGATAAGTCTGTGGCTCTAAAATAGAAATAATCCCTTGGCTCTCGAGTCTTTCAATCAAGTGGTGGCCCTCTATTGCCATTTTCCAGTATCATAATGCCCTTTCTAAGTTTAAGTATGTCCACCATTCCCTACGTGCTATCGTTTAACCTACTTTTGCCCAGTGTCTGCCTTGTGCTCCCTCGTACTCTAATGTTACACAAGTGTAACTTTATCACATCATCTTATAAATGCGCATGTCTGTCCTTACTAGATTGAAAGTTCCCAGAAGACTAACTCTGTGTCATATTTATGTTTTTAATTCTCAGGAACAAAAATAATATCTTGCTGGGACCAGAAGGTGGTCGAGGGAGGTGTGGTGGTTTAGGGCACTGGACTCCCACTTGGTGATTCAAGTCCTAGACCCAAAAGCTTGAAAATCATGCTGGGCACATGTGCCCAAAATCCTGAGTGGAGAATAGAGGAGAAGGGATTGAGTCATGACCATCCCCCATGGGAGGGGATTTCTCATTTTCCCACTCACTGCCTATCTCTGGTGATCTCATGTGCTCTATGGCACAAAGCTTTAAAAAATAATATCTTGGTTATATTAGGCATTATGTAAAAATTGGGTGAATTGAATCAATGAACTGAAAATAAAAGCATGTCAGGCACCTTGCAAGCACATGACTTGGTAACAAATAGAATCATTATAATATGCCTACTGAAATAGTGGTTTTATCCCATTTTATAGCTAAAATAACACGCTGAGAGATGTTAAGTGATTTGTTCAAGATCTAACACGATGGAATGCATTTGGTTTTAAATAATTTTAACAATAAACCATTTTAATGGTTAAACATATTTTCATAGCATCTACTCAGAAAGAAGTGGAACCTTTTATTCATTATTAAATATTCAGATTTATATCTTCATTCCCAGGGATATTTTAGAATGGAAATCTGATGTTTTAAAATTTTTGCCAGAGGATATGTGCACTTGCCAGAGAGACAGACAGGGAAAGTGAGACAGCATCCCCGTGGGGGATGGTTTTGCTGCAATCCCTCTCCATCGCTCTCTCCTTTCCGGGTTTTGGACATGCACACACACATGCCTGGTGTGCTTCTCAACCCACTGGGTCTGGGACATGAACCATATACCCCACCATAAAGGATCCAGCTGCCTTAACCAGCACATTACCTGCTGGTCTGAAATACAATTTTATAATTAAAATTCTTGAGTATCATAGTCTATATGGAAAAGTATCTACAATCTATTAATAATAAATACATTTTTGAGCTGTGGTTCAGATATTTCATGAGGTACCTGCAGACATTATTTTATTGAATCCCCCAGATAACATTTAAAGGTAAATATTATCCACATCATATTTTATAGAAAGAAACTGAGTTTAAAATGTTTGTGGCAAGTAAGCAAGATTTGTTTAAAATGTCTGCATTGAATATATAATACATTATGTATAGGTAAAGACACAAATCTTAGTATACAGCCCGAGAAACCGTTAAATGTAAATATGGCTGGGTAATCATCACTCAGAGCAGGAAACAGAGCACTGAGTCTCTCAGAAGTTCTCTGTAAGTCCCCCCATTCTCACAACATGCAGTATTCTGCAATCCACCCTCCCTTGATTTTCATCAGCATACATTAATTTTGCTGTTCTTGAACTTTACACAAAGGAAATCTCACACTACCTACTCTTTAGTATATGGCTTCTTTCCCTCAAGGAAGATGCCATTGAAAAATGCCTTCTCAAATCTATTTCCAAAGCAAGATTTGCAGTTCTTTTTACTGTAACAAGGTTCCTTTTTGTTCTTCTGCTAAGCTGGATATTTTGCTCCTCCTTCACACGACAGAGTTTATATCTTCCCAGGGGCTCTCTTCTTTCTACCACCGCCCACAGTCACAATCCTTCCCCTACCTCTGCTGAGCTGACATCCCCCAGCTGGAGAGAGCAGGCAATGCCACTGACACCAGGGGAGAGGCAAGGCTGTAAAAACCTTGCATGTCAGCACGGTTATAAAGGAAAACCCTTGCCTGGCCAGGATGATAATATTTTGACTTCATGTGGTATTTTTCTGAATTGGTTGGAACACTTCAACCATGGAAACAGCCCTCCCTTTCCTCGTCCAGGGGAAGAGTCATTCAAAAATGGCGATTTAATATATTTTCATGCCAGTTTAATAATTTAGGGGCAGAGGGTAGACAATCAAGCTGGGATAGGGAGGAGTGAGTGTGGGTGTGATACCCAGACAATATAACTGGCTCTGTGGGACAAATTGCCTGCAGGACAGGGAAAGAAACTGGTAAGGACATCCACTCTGGTGCTTCTGGACCCAAGACTGGCACCCTGGGTATGCATGGGGAAAGGCTGGAGAGTGTCCTCATTCTCTAGGCGATCCGGTGTCCTTTCTGCTGAGGTTCCTACACCCCCTCAACCTCGTGGATCATTCTTCCTCACAGTTCCTCCTCCTTAAAGGATATGTTCTTATACAGCTATTTCTTCTTGGGCCTTCCAGATGCAGATGGCTTCTGCATCTCTCAACATCTGACATGGTTGTTAAGTCCCACCCTCCAGACTTCTCACAAAGCATTTGACTAGTTTTTCATGGTCCAACAGCAGGGGCAGTCACATTCAGCTTGATGTCCATCAAGCCCACTTATGGTGCTAGGTCTTGAGATCCTATGGCACACAGCTCATAACGAGTCCTACGGGCTGACTCCGGTCATTGTGTTCCAAAAGAGACTGTGTTAGGAAATCAGAGTGTTCTGAATTCATTCCAGTTACAGAAAATTTGGTTTCCCCATTGGACCCTTAAGAAAGAGTGAAGCCTAAACCTTGCTGCCTACCCTGTTCAAGTATTAATCATTTAGTGCTGTAGATTGTGTCCTCACAAACTCATGTGATAAAATCCTAACCCCTAATGTCATGAGATTAGGAAGTAGAGCCTTTGGGAGGTGATGAAGTCATGAGGGTAGAGCCTTCATGCTGAGATTGGTGCCCTTATAAGAGACACAAGGATTTGCCTTCTCAAGTCTCACCTGTGTGAGGACATAGAAAAAGATGGCCATCTGCAAACTGGCAAGCAGGACCTCACCAGAAATGGAGTCCACCAGAAACTTGATCTTGGACTTCTCAACCTCTAGAATCATGACAAATAATGTTTGTTCTTCATGCCAACCAGGTATTTCGTTATAGCAGCTCAAACTGACTGTACAACAATGATAGGTCTTTGATCGTCAGTGATATTACAGTATTTCTTCTACCTTGTGATGGCAAGAAATAACCTGACTCTTAAAATTATTAATGAAAAACTCAGTTATTCACAGTGATCCAACTCCTCTACATAAAGCTTATGAACCAAAAACCAAGACACTCTATGAAATTATGAAGAGAATAGAGATTTGCATTCCAAAGAATGATGGTATTGGTTACTAGACCAGTGCTTATAGACATGCCTTCACCAGGACGGAGATTCCAATATATCTTTAATAGCCATTCCAAGTACCTTTTATGTAAAATCCTCTTCTTACTGTCAGTCAGCTCTTTATATTTTCTTCCTCCCAGTGGAGTAAGGGAGGCTAACATACCTCACCCCACAGGCAGGAAACTACATTAGTAACCAAAGACTTGACTTCCCTAATGTCACACAGGAAGTGACTCATTAGCCAAAGCAAGAAGAGATTTGAAAGTCTTCCAATAATAATGTAACACTCCAATCAGTAGACTAATGGTTTCTGAATGACATTTGTAGATAATGTCAG